CAATAATATAATAAAAGAAAGCAATACTTAAAGTAAAAGAAGCAATAAATTAAAATAAAGCAATAATACAATAAAAGAAAGAAATACTTAAAGAAAGTAATAATACTTTTGGAGGGTTACACTACCAAAATATGGATGCTTTACAAGTCCTAAGGGGTGATATCTATAGGCAACAAGAGAGGGTGAAAGTCTTGTTTGACAGTTTTAAATTACACTTTGATCCCCCTTTATTTTAAACTTTGATAATTTGTACCCTATAGTTTATAGTTTTGACAATTTACACCCTATAGTTTGTAGATTTGACACAATTGGTTTTTCAGTAGTTTGTAGCTTTGACACAATTGACTCCCCAGTAATTTGTAGTTTTAACGCACAAAACTTTAAAAAGAACAACAATTAATGCATTATCCCTAATTCACACACTAACTCTAATTTGACTTATTTTGATTAGTTTAACTTTGTTTAACTACCTATTAACTTAATTAAATTTTGCATTAATTAGGGTTAATCACCTAGGTACAAAACCTTCACCAAATCCTTGTGATAGGGTATTGTGCGGACTACCCAGGGTGAGCTAGTGGATTGGATTGCTTATAATCCACACAGTTTTGGGCTTTGTAGAAAATCCCACATAGTGGAGTAATCCCACCAAGATGACAGAAAAATGGACATAGGACGAGTGGGCCAAACCACTATATATCGTGTGTTGAATGTTCTTCATCAAATATCATTATCCTAAGCATGTTAAAATGAGCAAAATATGCCTTGAAAGATCATTTATGTTTATGAACTTGAATTTTGTGAAAAATGGTTATTTGAGCTTAATTGATCAAGTCTTGTGCAATGAAGTGTAATCATACTTGATTTATATATTGAATCATGTTTGGAAGCATACACTCAAGTTTGGTGCATGTTAGAATTGAATAGAAATAGTGGCCGAGTCACATTAGGGAAAGGGTGGGTACTTGCCTCTTGATTTTTTTTTATCACCTTTACATATGTATGCTTAAAGTATTATATTCTTGTTCAATTTATTGCATTTGCCTCCATAATTTTTTGAGGACTTGCGTAGTGATCGTACTCTTTTTTATTTTCAACAAATTAGTGGTTTATGACTCCCTAAAACAAATTGTTTTATTTTTAGTTTTAATAAAATAAATATAAAATGCTTGACCTACAAATATATTGACTAAAAATAATACGTCTCATCTATCTAATACATTGTCCACCATTTTCCAAAAATAATAATGTAGTTTTCCTTTATCTCTTTTCGATAAGTTGGTAGTCAATAACATAGAAAAACACAATTAAGGTAAAATGTCAAAATCCAAAAATATTTTATGCAATTTTAAACAATTGATTTTTCAACCAGACGATAGATGATTTCAATTAAATTTTGTAACAAAATAATGGATGATCTTCGTTATAGATTTTGTGATTGTATCCATTGAAAGAAATTTAGTTTAGAATTAATCAATGATAAATAACTTTTGAGAATACTATTTTATTCGGTAATCTAGCCTTCAATCTTAGTTATTTTTTGCTAGGTTAAAACTTAATTGTTTTTTGGTATTAGCACATGAATTTATTTAGTTATATTTTGCTCTAAAACAAAATCACAAATAGATTTGAAAAATTTACTATCTATATTTTGACTTAGATTACATAGAGCGGGACTAGGGTTGGGAACATGAGCATAAACACAAAAACATCAACACTCAAAAAAAATGAGAGTAGTCGCGCCTTGAGAACGTCATATTATATGCATACAAACACACATTCACCCATTAAAGTTTAATATAAATAAAATATAAACAACTAAAGTTTTATGCACAATTATGAGATAAACTATTTAATTTTTAAATATATGCTGCTTATAAAGTCTTGAAATGACAATTATAGTTTATAAATATTTTTCTAGTTTGATGCATGACTTTAAGCTTGGGTAGGTACTTCCCAAACAAATATTTCAGTAATAATAATAATAAGTAAGTCAGTAAGAGCATGAATTAATTGAGTTTGTTAATTGAAAATTTGAATTCGCGAATTTTATAAAATAAGAGCATGAATAAGGGTACAACTTGTGCGGGCCAACCTGAGAAAAATAAGGTTTAGGTTGAGGTTTTTAATACTTGGGTTGGGCCTGGGTTAAAAAACTCTAATTCGAATTGAATTCAGTTAATACCTAGGTTGAGGTCTCGGGTTGTTGGGTTCAACTCAAACACAATTCGAATTAATGAAACTGGGCTCAACCCAAATATATAAATCGGGTTCAACCCAAAATATATTTAGTTATATATAAAAAGAAAGAGTTAGCCAACTAGGGTTGCTTTCCCATTTACGCCGTTGTTACCTTCTCTCTCTCATCTCTCAGTCTCCTCTCTTTTCTCTCCCATCTATTGTCTCTCATCCATCAAAACCTAATGTTCATCCATCAAAATTAGGCATTTTATTCTCTTCTCTCTTAGTGTAAGAATAACCTATAGATGGGTGTCAAAGTAAAAGTTCTTATCTCTCGTTTGTCTCTCATCTCTCCAGACTATTGCCATTGTGAATAATAAGCGAGGACTCCATATTCTTCATCCTTATTTGTTCATCTTTGTTGTCCTGTGAGAGTACTACATAGAGTGTCTAAGGTTAGGGTTTGGGTTTCATAATTATAGTCCCATTCCTTAAGTGTTAGGGTTTGAATATTTTGGAGCATTATTTTATTAGAGGTTTTCAAAAAAGCATACATCCTTTATTCTGAATATTTTTCAACACCATATCGAATCTGTAGTTTAGGTTTTAACCATTATTTTGCAAAAGTACATAAAAAATTTACAATAGATATAGAAATGGTTTGAGGGATTTCATTGGTTTTTTTTTCTTTTCTTTGCAACATATGGGTGTGAGTGTTTGTTGGTTTTGCTTTGTAATTAGTGGAGAATTATTGTTAGTTTAGTGGAGATGTTGAGTTTTGGTTTATACTTATCCGATTTAACCTGAATTCAACCTAAAATTAAGCCCAAATTGATTAACCCGATTTTAACTCGCGCTTTTCCGAAATCAATTCAGACAGTATCTGGATTGAGTATTTCAAGTTGACGTTCAGTTAAAGTTAGAATTAGGATCAAAATTTTATATATAAAATTAGAGTAGGGTTGATCCCTTAATCCACCCAACACCACTTAGCACGAATTCACGAAGAAGCATTTGAATTTTAGAAGAAGAGATTAAATTCTATTCGAATGCCTTGTAAACTAGTGGGTTTACACCATTCAATTAAGGCATGCCACGTTGGTGTTTTTACAAAAAAAAAAATTGAATGAAACAAACAGAAAGGAGTAGGAGATAACTCTTTTCCGTTTTTCCCTCTATCTTTTGTATTTCCATGAGATAATCCATTACATTTCCTCTATCTTTCTCTCTTTTTCATTTTGTTGGAAATTGAGAAACCCCATTTCTCTTCATCCATCTCTCTATTTTCTTCTATACATTTTTATAATTTTTCCCATTCATCTTCGTCGGTGTACCACACCCTCTCGACCGTCCGATTCCTCCTAACCCATCGATGATGACTATTGTAAACCCATCATCAGACCATCAATTACCACCTCATTCAACTTTCAATTGGATTAGTTTTAGGGTTAATCTTATTTTGCACCCTAAAAGATTGTTCAAATCTCAATTTGCACCCCTAAAGATCAAAAATCTCAATTTACACCCTCAAAGATAGAAATTTGTATCAATGTGCATCCCCAAAGATAAAAAATCTCAATTTGCACCCTCAAAGATAGAAATTTGTATCAATGTGCACCTAAAATTAAATTGATAAATTATATCTAGATCCCTCATATTTGTCACTTAATCATTTGAACTCCTTCATATTTAGAATATTCCTCTTACATGTTATGACGTTTGTGCATGTGTAACACATAACCACTTTTCGTTGATATCTGTTAATATAATCATTAAAAAATATGATTTTATCCTAATAAAAAATTATAATTTCATATTACATTTTATTTTGTGAATTCGATATACTCTAAAGTTAAAAATCAAGCTTACTATTTGAATGTCTAATAAAATGTAGATATTTATATAAAAGGTAATATAAAAAATATTATATAAATATTTACATTTTATTAGACATTCAAATGGTAAACTAGATTTTGAACTTTAGAATATATTAAACCCATAAAATAAAGGTTAATATGAAATTATAATTTTTTATTAGGATAAAATTATATTTTTTAACGGTTATATTAATAGATATCAATGAAAATGGGTTACGTGTTATATGTGCACAAATGTCATAAGATGTAAGAGTAATATTTTAAATGTGAAGAGGTCTAAATGATTAAGTGACAAGTATGAGAGGATTTATGTATAATTTATCAATTTAGTTTTTAGGTGCACATTGATGCAAATTTCTATCTTTGAGAGTGCAAATTGAGATTTTTGATCTTTGGGGTGCACATTGATATAAATTTCTATTTTTGAGGGTGCAAATTGAGATTTTTGATCTTTGGGGGTGCACATTGATACAAATTTCTATCTTTGAGGGTGTAAATTGAGATTTTTGATTTTTGAGGGTGCAAATTGAGATTCAAACAATCTTTCGGAGTACAAAATGAGATTAACCCTTAGTTTTAACTGAGTGAGTGAGTGAGTGAGCGTGTGATTGTGTGTACTTCTGTGTATTTGGTTTAATGGTACTATTTATATTGTAAATGTTTTATTTTCTTGAGGTTAAAAGTTCAAATACTTCTCCTTTTCCCTCCCCCAAAAATTAAAAAAAAAACAAAAATAAAAAGAGAGAGTGAGAAATGGGTTTTAAAGTAAAGGAAATGGTAAGATTTTGTAGGTTTCTTAAAGAAAAATTGAAAAAAAAAAAAAAAGTGTACATATGGCAGACTATTATTGGATGGCATTAACCCACCAGTTTACGGTTCATCCGGACAGAATTTATTCCCTTACAAGCTAATTCTGTGAATAAGATTTTGAGATTGGGGAGACACCCATGCTCGTCAGAGATCGAGGTGGAAAAAGAGTAGGCGGTGGATTTCCACCGGGGGCTGGCCACGCTATAGCCCAGGGACTACCGGACTTTCTAACTGAGACGGGGCCTGGTATTATCTGTTGAACATAACATCATAGGTAAGGGAATCTTGAATCTCGGTTACGTACTGACTGAAGTCATCGCCGTTTCAGTTGCCCCGTTTACTTTCTGCAACTACCCAAAACTTCCCTTCCACTGATCTCATTATCATTATCAAAACCTCAAATTCAATTACATCTCATTATCAAAACCTTATAATTTCAACTTCACCAAGTTTTTCAATGACTGAACCGGAGGTTGACGAGTCAACGACTTGGGAATCGGTCCTGCGCAGAATGTTACCCGCCGGCGCTCCATTACCCGACGAAGACCACCTCGACTACTCCATTGCCGTCGAATACGATGGTCCTCCTGTCCCCTACGCCGTCCCCGAAATCGACCCTGTCGACGTGGACTCCATCTCCGTTAAAATGCCTTCCATTATATCCGATTCCACTTCCACTTCTACCCCTATTATTCCCGTTATTTCTTCCGTTATCCCCAAGTTCAGCGGACGCAGAAACGTTAATTTAAAGAGCAGCAATGGCCGGAGATCGTCGTCTTCGGTTTTCAAAACCCGATCCGAAGAATCGGATTCGGGTCATTTGGTCCGAAGAGCAGGTGTTGAAACAAGAAGACTCAACACGGTGTTGTTTGAGACCGAATCAGAGTCTCCTTGGCCGAACCACACACCATCTTCTTCTCCGGTGATGGGACCCACTAGGAGTGAAGGGGAGAGTAGGAGAAGGAGAGGGGTTTGTAGTAGATGCGGTAGAGGGAATAGGATGAAGCAGAGAGAGCCGTGCATCGTGTGTGTTGCGAGTTACTGCAGTAACTGTGTGGTCAAGGCTATGGGGTCGATGCCGGAGGGGAGGAAGTGTGTGAACTGCATTGGGCAGCCGATTGATGAGGCCAAGAGGTTGAGTTTGGGGAAGAATTCGAGGATTTTGGAAAGGGTGTGTAGTCCACTGGAAGTTAAGCAGATTCTGAAGGCTGAGAGGGAGTGTTGGGCTAATCAGCTTCGCCCTGAACAGCTTGTGGTTAATGGGAGGCTGCTAAGGGAAGAGGAGTTGGCGGTAGTTTTGGGGTGTTCTGTTCCTCCACAGAAGTTGAAGCCTGGGAGCTACTGGTATGACAAGGACTCGGGGCTTTGGGGGAAGGTGAAAAACTGAAAAATATAATTTATCTTGGTGGTTTTGTATGGTACTTTAATAAATTTTATGTAGAGTCTTAGCAACTCCAATTGTGATTTTTTCTATTACCAATATTTCAAATTTGTTTCTAAATGTTCTATTACAAACTTTCGTCCTAATAATTAATGGAAATGGATGTGACAGTTATATACGGAACTATCTTTTGTTAGTTATTTAGATGACAATTAGTGATTGGATTATTTAAAAACTAATTGGATGGAGATTAAAATGTCACAATGGGAAAGTTGGAGTATGAATGTATTTAGGATCTATTGTGTATTTCTAAACTTTTTGTTTTGTTGGGTTTGCTTTGTTTGTGTTATCTTTAATATTGGGTTGCAGGAGGGAGAGAAGCCTGATAGGATTATAAGTTCGAGACTGAATGTGGGGGGTAAGCTTCGATTGGATGCAAGTAACGGGAACACAAAAGTCTACATAAATGGCCGGGAAATCACAAAAATTGAGCTCCGAGTATTGAAGGTAATATAACATGTATTTTTCTTGCACGATTTCATAGCAAATACATATATTATCTTGCTAGTGGAGGAATGTATGGTTGTGGATTCAATGCAAGCAATGCATACTAGGCATGTATCCATTTATGTTTTGTACAATAACATTTTGACTGTAGAGAAAATTTGATATTTATTACCATGTTACTTATTTTAGTCGCTATTTGTCGGCCCAAGGTGGTTATAACACTAAAGTTCGTTCAAATACAATTGGTTGTGGAGAAATACTGTATTTTCCTATAGGTTATTTAAATTCTTTAAGTAACTTTTTGGATGATCTTTGATGTGTCCAAATTGATTACTCAAAGATTAGAGTTCTTAAAAGAGAAAACAAATTTGGCTTGGCTTATTTATAGTTCAATTCTTGTAAACTTCCATTGTTGATGTAAATTGTTGATCACGACCATGGGAGGATGTGGAGTTTCTTAGAGTGTGTGTTTGTGCTTATCAGAAGCATTGTGAATAGGTCTGATTGGTGGATGAGAGAGAGAGAGAGAGCGCGCCGGGGGCAGAGGTATCGTTAACTTTTAAGTATGAAGAAGTTAATGGGAAGAAAAGAATTTCCAGGGTTGGGAAGGTTTTAAATTCACGAGAAAATTAAATTTTGTGAAACAAAAGATGAAGAGTTGAAATAAGGAGGTGCTCGGGGACATTAGGGTCACTAAGAATTTTATCATGAATAGAATTTTATCTAATACCCCTATTACTTTGGAAAAACCCTACTATCTCTCCATTCTGGCATATACTGAACCTTGCACTCGTCAGACAAGTTGCAATCCATTCAATCATTTTCTTAAGGAATTTGAACTTCTTTAGTACAATGGTGATGAATTCCCAGTTGATCATGTCATAGGCCTTCATGAGGTCAACTTTAATTGCACCTTTTGGAGCTCTCCTTTCCCTGTTGTAATTGATAGAGTTATATACGAAAAACTTATTTTTTGTAGTAAAACTTGTTTTATTAATTGATAGAAGCTTGTTTTTTCTATTTTATTGAGAATCTATATGGGCAAAATGTTTATATTATATTTAATATATAGTATGCACGTGTGTCTTATATTTTATATTACAGATAATTTGGTATATAGAGTTCAACTTATGCACAAAAGACCAGATTATCGGATACTTGTATAGTATGAGTATAGGTTAATAATCTTAGATGGAATTGGACACACCATCAGTATAATTGTTGTGTAATATTCTAGCATAGTATGTCTTAGCGGTAGGAGACTGTTTGATGTCTCAGATTATTGTGCTAGTACATTTTGTGTATTGAACAGATCCATGAGATTATTATCTTTTACTGATTCAATAAGACAATAAATACCTCATAATTATTTTAACTGCTTATACTTTTAATCTCGAGATATTTAATCGTCATGTATATATAATGATTGTTATTTTAATTCATAAATGAGTGATATTCATATTGAGTCAATAAGTTCGGTGAATTGAGAGACGATGTTATTTGTATAGTGGAAATTAATTATTAAAGAAAATCACATTCTAATATTTAAATGGGTGGATGATGTCCTCTTGAAAAAACTCATAAATTTTGTCTATGTCAAACCCTTCAGGCAGATTTAATTATCTGACATGATAAATAAATTGAGTGGTAAGGTCTCAAAGAATAAAAGAAGTCAATTAAATATAATTTTTAGTAATTTATTTAATTGATGGACATCTGTAATTTTAAACGTGAGGAGATTATTAAGCATATAATAATAAGAAGTTTGAATATAATTTTGAGATAAGGTGCAAAAGATCAATAATAAATTTTTAGTGAACTAACTTTTTATTAATGGGCTGTAAGATGTTTGTTCTGAGCAGTATTTTGAAAAGCGCGCCTAGGCGAGAAGCGAGACGAAGCGAAGCGAAGGTATCTTTCCTAGACCATTTCAGGCAAAGTGAATGTGACTGGAGTAAGAAAAAAGCGAGTGCCTTGCGCTTAAGCGAAAGGCGAAAAAGCGAACGCCTTAGTCATTAGAGGCGAAGTTATTTTATTTTTATTATAGATCGTTGGATTGGGCAATTGAAAAAAAAATTATAAGAAAGTTGATACACTGAATTATCCCCTTATCCCATAATTACAACCCTAAATCCTAATTTTACTCAGATTGTTTCGCTGTTCCTACTCCTACACCATCGCTGGATACAGAATAGATTCGATCGCTGCTCCTACACGATTGACAAACACGATCGACAAAGTCGTTGCTCTTACACGATTGACAAAGTCGACAGACACGGACAGTATAGAGACGATCGCTGATGGCTAAATAGAGACGATTGTTGCTCCTTCCTCACTGATCTCGTTGATCGTTGCTCTGTCCTCACTGCACAGGTTAGTCTTCTATTTTTCTTCTCTCTTTTATTTCTCTTTTTTTCTTCTCTCTTTTGGTTCTGGTTCTTCTTCTCTCTTCTGTTCTGGTTCTTTTTTTTTTTTTTTGTACTTCTGTTTTTTTTTCTTGATTCCGCTCCTTTTTTTTTGATTCTGCTCCAGTCTTTTTTTTTTTTTTTTTTTTTTCTGATTGTGCTACTGTTTTGCTGTTCTAAATCTATAGTGTTGTTCTGTTTTGTTGTCCTGAAATATGATTCAGTACATATGTATAAGCGTACGAATATACATAAAAATAGATTTACAAAAACAGTTGTTGTTTCTAAAGATAATGAAGAAGATGGTTTCTTTAGTGATGAAGATTGATTTCTAAGTCCTTGACATAATTTTTTTTAGTTGCTTGAATTGTGTATCTTATGTTTTTAAATATTAGAATTTGGGATATTATTAGTATTTGTTTGAATTTAAATGTTTAAGCTATGATTGTTATTAAGATTTGAGATGTTATTAGTGTTTGTTTTAATTTAAATATTTGTGGTTTTACTTGCATTTAAATATTTGGTATATATAAAATTAGAACTTAGATGTTTAGAAGTAATTAAACTAAAATATTTAATTTTTTTTTTTTAATTGTTCGATTCGCTCCGGTAAAGCATTTAGCTTCGCTTCTAGCTTCTTGCCTAGGCGTTAGGAGCTTTGGTCGCTTAGGTTCGCTTTACGCCTTAAATAACAGTGGTTCTGGGTTGAATATAGGAATTCTAGACCTATTGGAAGCTCGGTTTTTATTTCTCCTTAGGGTTTCTGTCGTAACTTATTTATAGATGTCTAGGCTTTCTAAATCAGTATCAATTCATTACTCACGTTTTGAGAGAGGCTGAGAAAGAGAGCATAAGTTCGGAGGTCCTTGCAGCCTACACTGCATCCGGATTTTTGGGGTTGGGAATATATGATAGAAAATCGTGAGGTTTAGTGAGCTGCGTTCTGCATATGTCTTTAGTTTTTGCGTTCATCCTGAGACGAGGTCAATCAAGAGCTATCTCGAAGGTAAATCCTAATTCCTTACAGGGTTTTTAAAGAAAAAATTTTGTGTTCTATACATATGCGTTGTCAATGATTCTTAGGATTTTCGTTCGAACAGTAATCTCTCATAAGTTCTTGTGCAAGCATCACATTATCCCCGATTCTTCTGTTAGGCACAAAGGCAGCCTGGTTAGTGCTGATGATGTCCCCTAGTATTTCCTTCAATCTATTTGCAATGAGTTTTGAAATGATCTTATACAATGTATTATAGCAAGAAATTGGTCTAAAGTTCGCCATATTTGTGGGATTTGGGGCTTTAGGGACCAAAACTTGGATGGTGTTGTTAATTCTTTCAACATTTGTCCAGTTATGAAGAACTCTTCAACTGCTGCACATATATCTTTACCAATATCCTAAAGAAACATCCATTGAACCAGTGTTTTGAAAAGCTCGCCTAGGCGAGAAGCGAGGCGAGACGAGCTTATCTCGCCTAGAGGACCCCAGCGAAGCGAACGTGAGCGAAGTGAGAAAAAGGGAAAAAGCGAAGAAGCGAAAAAAGCGAAAAAGTGAACGCTTTATTATAAAAAGCGATTCTGTTTCACTTTTTTTTTTTTTTTTTCTGATTACAGGTTAGTAGTCTCTTTTATTTTTTAATCACTAATGACTTTTTTTTTTCTAATAAACAATGTTTTGAACAAAACACATTCCTTTTTTTTCCTTGTGTTGCTGAATTCATTTAGAATATTTGTGGGATGTGGGAGTCAAGCGACTGCACTGCATGACAATTATGATAAAAAAAGGAAGCAGGGTATCAGAAATTGGGGTAAATAATAGATTCTTCTACAAAGAAGTGTCTCTGATATGTCTTGGTTATACTTTTCCCTTTTCTTATATATATACAAATGGTGCCAAAAAGTGGTCTATGCTTATACCATGTTTAATTATTTTAGTACATGTGAAATGTGCCTCTGTTCTGCTTTTTGTTATTCAGTATATAATTACAAATGAAATTGTTTACAATTGCTTATGCTCCTGTCATGATTATTGTGCTTCTGTTTTTTTTTTTTAGCTCATTCTGCTTCTATTTTTTTTTGTTGATTCTGTTGTTGTTTCGGTTTTGCTGTCCTGTGTTGCTTTTGTTTTTTTTTATCCTCATTCTGCTTCTTTTTTTTTTGTTGCTAATTCTGCTGTTGTCCTGATTCTGCTTCTTTTGTTGTCCTACCCTGTCAATATGAAAATATATACAATTGTTAGTATTTGTTTGAATTTAAATGTTTAAGTTATAACTGTTATTAAGATTTGAGATATTATTAGTGTTTGTTTTAATTTAAATATTTATGGTTTTACTTGCATTTAAATATTTAGTATATATAAAATTAGAACTTAGATTGTTTAGAAGTAATTAAACTAAAATATATATTTTTTTTAACTGTTCGCTTTGCTTCGGTAAAGCGTGTTGCTTCGCTTCTCGCTTCTCACCTAGGCGTTAGGAGCCTTGGTCGCTTCGGTTCGCTTTACGTCTTAAATAACACTGCATTGAACCCATCCAGGCCCAGGGCGTTGTTTGGGTGTATAGAAGAAACCACATTCCTTATCTCCTCATCTAAAAATTCCTTTGTTAAGTTTGATGACTGATTTTCTGTTAATTGTCTCCAAGGGATTCTTTCAAGTTCAGCCTCTCTATTCAAAGAATAGGTTATTTTGTCACCTAGCAGTTTCTGGAAATGATCAATCACAATTCCTTTGACTTCATCTGGTTCCTCTATTATAGTCCCATCATCTCTAGCCACAGAAATAATCTCGTTTCTATTTCTTTTAGCAGTCACAATCTTGAAAAAGAAAGCAGCATTTTGGTCACCTTCTTTGAGCCATTGGATCCTTGATTTCTGCTTAAAGAATTCTTCTTCCTCCTTGCTTCCCTTATATACTTTTCCAGTAGTTCCTTCTCCTGGTTCCTGAGAGTGGTGTCCATAGGTGGTAAGTCTAATTTCCTTTGACATTGATCAAGAGTGTCCTTTGCAGCAGCAACTTTCACCGAAACATCTTCTTTCAGAGGCCTATTAATCTTCTTGAATTCTTGTTTCAATAGTTTAAGTTTGCTTGAGACTTGAAACTGTGGAGTGCCCCTAATTCTTGTCTGCCATACCCTTGCCACAATAGTTAAAAAATCAGGTCTCTTGGCTAAAAAGTTGAAGAATTTGAAAGTACATTTTCTGGCTCCTATTTCCTTTTCCATTCTCGCAGCTATTGGGCTGTGGTTGGAGATATTAGCAGTAAAAAATTCAGCCATAGACCTAGGGTGCTGCTAGCTCCATGCTTTATTAACCAATACTCAAATGAGTCCCTCTTTTACTACACCATGTGTAATGAATGCCAGAGTACCTTAAATCTGTAAGCTCTACCTCCTGAACACAATCCCCAAAGTCATACATAGCTTGGCACCACATTTCAGCTCTTCCCATTGTCTCTAGGAGATTAGTAATAGCATTAAAATCACTTACCACAGCCCAAGGTTTAGATGCAAAAATTGAGCATGATATTCTATATTTCTCCACAAAGGTCTCCTATCCCTTTCTTCATTGGCAGCATTCAAGAAATTGTAAATTCAGATTTACTTTCTATGTGCTTAACAAAGTAGCGAGTTATTTGGTCAGTTTCAAAGATTTTAACTACTTGCAGCACCAAAGAGTTCCAGCCAATGACTTTAGTAATTATCAAAAGCTTGCCACTGCCTAAAATAGAGATCTCATTACGTAATCTTTATAGATGATGTATTTTTGGATATAACTTATGGATGTTTTTGTTTGTTAGCTTTAGAATTTTTCATTATTTTTTTAGAATTTTTTAGTTTCTATATAGTATTTTGTGCATACCGCGATACTGCGACTGATGTATATCAGTGTCATCCGAGTCAATGATCAATACTAGGTTCTTCAACCGCGCTTCAACTACCTGAATTCCATACCTCATTTGTGTAAGGCTCTCACAAGTTCTATTTTGTGCATCGAGAGTTGTACCAATTATTTATTTGAAATTTTGCCTTCACATATAATATTGTAACGGGCTCTCATAGGAAAAAAAGGTTTTTCTATTCTTTTCTATATTAGTTATTTAAGTTTTATAGCACATTGTTGGGTGGTTAGTTTCATAGTGGGTCGTTGCGATTACGGGTTGGATGTCTAATTGTCCAGGCGGTAATGATAGTATCTTGTACCTGAACCGGTGGCTTATCTTTGTAGCGGAAATCATTTACCCAATTTGTAAAATAATCTTCAAAACAATAATATTAATTTTGCGCTAATACATGTTGATGGTTATAGCTTATTACACTTTTAAATACTGACACTAAGGATGATATTCATATTTCCGATAACACCCTTATATTGCATGAACACTAAGTGAAATGATCTAGATGATGTATTTTTGGTTGTGACTCATGGATGTTTTTGTTTATAAGTTTTAGAATTTTTCATTATTTTTTAGAATTTTTTGGTCTTCTATCTAGTATTTTGTGCTCATTGGCTGATACCGTACTTCGATACCACGACCTTCCTTCGAATTGATGACTGATGTGTATCAATGTCCTCGAAATCAATACTAGGACCTTGAACCATGCTTTAGCCACCAGAAATCCATACATTATTTGTGTAAGGCTCTCACGGTCTTATTTTGTGCATTGAGAGTTGTAGCAATTATTTATTTGAAATTTTGCCTTCACATATAATATTTTAATGGGCTCTCACATGAAAAAAAAAAGATTTTCTATTCTTTTTCTGTATTAGTTATTTAAGTAACACTCTAAATTATCTTTATTGTTCTCAGTTGTTTTTCTTCCTAAAGTTAATAACTTAAAAAGGGGATTATTTTTTATTAAAACATATAAAATTTCAAATCATTTTGAGGATTGACTGGATGAGCGTTCGGGGCTTATAGTCTTTATCCTTTTATGAAAATATTCCTATCTCTTGGCAATTATCTCTTAGATCTATGCATGTCCTTCATTGACAATTATATATATGAGTTTATGGATGGAATTATGGATATAAACTCTGCAAAATCAACTGTTTGTCACCCTTGTAATGCTTCAGATTCAAGTTGAATAAAAACTTGGAGAAAAATGTGCTAACCATTTTGTGGCCGATAAAGTTGAAGTGCATAATATTGTATTTAAGGTAGAACCTGAATTTTATGTCGAAAACAGTAAATGCCATGTATTTTGTCTTAGTTCTTCACTTTTAGTGTTTTCTCTTTGAACTGTATATTGTTTTTCTAAGGATATCTTGTCCTCAACATTGTGTTTTGTTCTTGTCTTGCTTCTGTAACAAAATTCTTGAGGTAAATGCCATGTAACATATTCCAATATTCGAATAAGTTCTTTTGATATGCTTTTTCTTTGCTTTCATATTTGCCCCAACATGTTCATTTTTTTTTTTATAATATTTCAAAGAGGCTTTGTTTTGGGTGAAATGCTTTCAAAGAGGTATTGCAAAGGCCCTCAGATTTAACACCACTACATTTGGTTGCTATTTTGATTCTGCCCTTCACTTATCTTGAATATGGATTGCACATTTTAAGCTTTTGTCGTTATGTGCTTTATTTAATTTTGCTATGTTATTTTTGCCATTATGAAAAAAGTTATGCAATTTTCTCGTTCTTGGGATCTGATTATACAAGTATCAGTCAACTGTTACATCTACTCTGGTGAAAGTGCTCAGTGTTGACCTCCTAACTTCACTTTCTCTTTTTTGTAGCCAAATGATTAGCTACAAAGTGTTGAGTTCTTAAATTAATGTTCCCCTTTTAGGTGGCTGAATATGAATCTGTTTTCCCTGAGTGTTGGTTCTATTGCTCCTGGCAACAAATTTATGCCCTCATTGAATTTTATTACAGCTGGCCAAGGTACAGTGCCCCCGGGATACTCATTTCTGGGTGTACGATGACGGATCTTACGAGGAAGAAGGTCAAAATAACATCAAGGGAAACATATGGGGAAAGGTTCTCTCGTGATCTCTGTGCTATAAATGATGTAATTCGGGTCAACTATGACGTTTCCTTATATGATTACAACTTGATAAGTAAAGAGTCGCAGTTGGGCATTTTGTTAGGCAGGCATCCACTCGTTTCATTTGTTCGTTGTTATCACTGCCCGTACCACTTGGAAATCCCCACGGTCCAAAAGAAGATCCATCTACTTTTTCTGGTAGGTCTGCACCCGAGTACTTGGAGCAGGGAAGAGTCCAGAAACTCCTGCTGTTTGGGTTGGAGGGTTCTGGGACAAGTACCATCTTCAAGCAGGTATGCATCATATTTTTAGCTTCTGCTTTTGGATCTGCTTTATGGTATACGTTATCTTATGTTTGTTGATAGGCAAAAACCTCATGTCATATGAGAGTTATATAAATTTCTTGCAAATGTGCTCATTTTTTTCTCTGTTGCTTAAAATTGTCTTGATGATGATTTCCATTGAATTTTGGTTTCTTAAATTTGATGTGAATGTCTTGAATTTTTAAATTGTGGCATTGAATTTTAGGTTAAAATCTTTCATTTATTTCTTCAGTATATTGATCTTTGTCAGTATCTGGTGGAATGGAAAACATTAATTAGTTCTCTGTTCCCATATCCTATCTTGGGATTCTATTCTTTGCTAATTATCCAACAGGTGATCCTTTTTTGAAATGCTTTGGCCACCTTGTCTACTTATGATGTTTGCTCTTGCTAAGTCATCATTTTCTCAAGTTCTGCGTGATTTTGTTACTTGCATGTTTCTTTTTGTTGTTACATATGATGTTTCCTTTTCGTGAATACCCATGTTGGAAGCCTAAGCAATATTTTCCTTTTTGTTATTATGTATCACCTTTCCTTTTGGTGAATACATTGTACTTCTTCTTTCCTTGTGACAGGTCAAGTTTCTATATGGAAACAAGTTTACTGCTGAAGAGCTGCAGAACATTAAGCTTATGATTCAAAGTACCATGTATAAATACCTCAGTGTGTTACTTGAGGGACGAGAGCGTTTTGAAGAAGAGGCTTTGATGGAGAAAAGTACCGCTGGTTTGGATGGTGAAGTCTTCGCGCCAGGTCTAAACTCTAGTGCTGACAAAGTTGTTTTCTGTTTTAGTGCTTTATCTATGGCTAATGAACTAGTATATTGGCCTTATAGATCTTCCCACCTTGCTTAAAGACATTAACCATAAGGCAATAGGTGGGAAGATCCATAAGGCCAATATGCTAGTTAATGAGGCCGCTTCATGTTTTAATGGTAGCACTACGGCAATAAATTAAAGGATCCATACATTTTACAAGCCTTGATATGAAAATCAGTGGTTAAGCTGCTTTTTTTGCAGGGATACAATTAATGTTTCTGCATTTGGACTGAAATGTCTCCGTACATGATTTATGATACTTATTCCTAGTCTCATAATTTTTGCTACAATCTACTTCTTTTCGGTAAGATGTAAAATACTTATGGATAAACATATTGGTTGTATATTTAATTTAATATTGTCTTTCCTGATGGGATCAGCGATTGATATTGAGAAGAAATAAATGTTAGGAAGTCACATAAGCTTTGTTTCATAACACACACACTGGACATATGAGTTGACACATGTATATGTCATGATAAGCATGAGTAAGAAGTAGGGTCAGTGAACATGATGGCATGTTTAGGGTAACAAAGTTGAAGTCATTCAATATCTGAAGACTTCTAGTTAGAAGATTAAGAAAGGTCTGCGCTGATATGAGTAGTTTCAAACATCTTAGGAATGACGTGAAGATTGACAAGTAAAAGACTGTGAAGTAGATGAAGAGTCTAGGGGGATGCTATTAAGATTACCGAAAGAACACAATATGCTAGTTTCTCTATTTCTATGCGTTTAGGGCTTTGTTTCTTGGTTGTTCAAAGTGGTTGAGGAAATGTGTAACTGGAGAGGAAATGAGTTGTTTTTCAAAAAGTTTAGTTGTAATTGTGACCAGATATGGGTGGAATTAAAGTCAAATAGGTTTGGGAATTCCTTAAGATATGCAAACAACATTCCTGTAGGTAAAAATATATTCATAACTATTCTACAAGGGAAGTAATTCAGTGGCTAGAGAAGCTTTTCGAGAATAGTGGATGGTCTGCTGATTAGGGTGGCTTTCTACTTTATGTTTTTAAACTACTTCTAAACTCTCTATTTCATATCCTACTTGTAAGCTCAAAATTTCCTTTCACCACTGCTAAAAGCTAACCAGGGAAGAAGGAAGAGATTTTACCTTCAAATGGGGCTTTCAAGTACTTAAGGTCCCTGACCAAAAAAAAAAAGTACTTAAGGTCAACTGGAGTGGAAGCCAAACAACAGGGCTGAGAATCTGTGATCGATCTGAAGAACCACTGCTAGATATGATTCTGCTCTCCCTTCGTACTACTAAAAAATGAAATTATTGCCCTAGAAGAGATGTTCAGAAGAATAAAAGTGCTCTTAAAGGTGGGTCAATTTGTAGAAATCATGATAATGTGAAAAATGATGCCTTTTTTTTTTTTTTAAATATGGAAGAAAGCTGTGGTATGTAGAGAGAGAACATTTTTGTTCTATGATGGTGGATTCACGAAGCTTTGATAGAGGTTTAAAGTCAATTTTGTTGTGAGACCTTTCAAGGTTAACAAAGCTATTTTATTTTGTGGAGATGAGAATTAGGCAGAAGCCATTTGTCCTACAGAGTTGTTCTTGTCAAAGGAGATTGGTATGTTCAAGTTATCTAAATGGATATCTGAGTTGAACTCAAGACGGGATACGGTGGATTGGGACTGAACAGCTACCATTTTATCTGTCGCAAGAAGAGGATTGTAGAAAGATTGGCAACTGTTGTGGTGGTTTTGTTAAACTGATCAAAAAGTTTATTTATTTATATATGTTAGAATCTCTTTAAGAAAAATTATATATATATATATATATATATATATATATATGCCCAATTTCTAGTGGTAGTGGGACCAACAAAGATGTATGTTGTCCAGCCCGACCACATACTCTTTCTTCCAACCTTTTTGTCTCTTTGGCCGCAAGTATTTAAGTGGTATCCTAAGATTGAAGAGATCAAATTCCTCCTGGGAACACACGAAACAAAGAGTGCTATAAGGCGAGTGGAGCGAACGAAGAAGCTCTTGATCTTTTCCTTGAAATCTCAGATTTCTGGCAACTTTTATTCCTTTGAGTTTCAAATTTCTGTCCTTATTTTTGTTGGAACTTGCACGAATCAGATATTTAAGCTTTGGCCTTCCCAGATTAGTGAGTGGGTTTCCTTTCACTCCACGCTACAGCACACGTTACATGGAGTTCTCCCATATGCTTCCTTTCCTTTAATGCTGCCATTGATCACTGATATTTTAGCACTCGTCAATTTTTCTGTCATATCGAATAGGTATAATTGTTAGTTTCGTTGTAGAAAATGTAGGAGTGAAATATGAATAAGATTCTCAGTTTGATGGTTAAAATATGAGGGAGGATGGTTTTATCTGTTGGCATGGATGAGCTCATATGGTAGTTGGCTGTTAAAATGATTTCAGGTGAAATGGGATTTATCGGAGGAGGCCAGTGCATCTATTCAATCAACCAGAGGTTGAAGCACTTTTCTGACTGGTTATTGGATATCATGGCTATGGGAGATTTGGACATTTTCTTTCCTGCTGCAACCCGTGAGTATGCTCCTGTTGTGTATGAGGTTTGGAAGGACCCTGCTATCCAGGAAACTTACAAAAGAAGGGAGGAACTGCATTTTCTTCCAGATGTTGCCAAATATTTCTTGGATCAGGTAAGCCTTATAAAATGTTTTTTGTCATGTCATTTGATGACTTGTGCCTCTAAACCATAACTTTTACCTGCTTCATTTGCATTTTCTTTATTTTTTGATGGGCACTTAAATTTCCCTTTTACAATACTTCCTGCAGTCCCTTCTAATTAATTTGGAAGTAAACACACACCCACTGCCCGTAATTCCAACCCTACATCTCTCAAAGGGCCTACAACAAGGAGGAATGGTGGAAACTTATGAGGCACTAATTGATGCAGGAATGTCTTCCAATCAAAGCAACCAATGCTGTCATGTGATCTGATCTGATGAGCTAGATTTTAAATTGTTAGGGCCTATAAGTTAAATAGTGAGATTAGGTTTTCAATAGATTAGGGTTTGAGTTAGCTGAAGTTTTGGGCTGATTTGGTTGTTTGGTTGTTCTGGGTTGCAGGTATTTCTGGACAGTTAAAAAAAACAAGGTTTTAAGGTTCTAGTAGTAGGGAAGTATGGAATTTGTTTACAAAGAAAGACAGATTAGATGGCGGATTATGGTTCAGGTATGTCCTGGCTGTGTTGAACATAATAGTATATAGGAGGAGGAAGAAAAGGGCATAAAACCTTGGAGTGGCTTTTTGGAGTCTCACCAAGAAACAAACTTAATGTAGTCTCATCATTAGTTAAACATAGTCAGCAGAGAAAATTTTCATTGACTCATTAAATCGTTTTGCGAAGATCAACTTATAGAGAGAAAACAAACAAAACAAAACTGGAAACTTACAATTGGAAAACTACTTCTCAATAAAGGATTGCCCAAAACTAGTTATAAGAGAGACTTGGCAGTGCAACCAAGACAAGGGCTGAACAAAAATGACTAGACTACACCTACTTAAGAGAGGCTGTCATTTTCCTCTCTTTTCTCTTTCATGGACAAACTTTTAGAGGCTGACTGTCATCACACAAAAATGCAAATCCCAACCAAAATGGAGCAAATGGACTTTTTTTTTTGTTGCTTTAGAAATGTACACAAATACACTTACACATGGTTGAGTCAGTTGAAATACAGAAAAATATGGATTTAGGGTTTGTGAAGGAGTTAATGAACGTCTACATACATTCTTAACATATTAAACAAGGTAAAGTAAGATCAGTTGGTGAGGGTCATTGTTTGATTATTCTTTACTTTTGATACCCCCTTAATTCTACACCTTCCTACTTATTTTTTTTTTGTTTTCCTGATAAGTAGCAGATTTTTTATTAATAACAAGAAAAAGGTAGTACAATAAAACAGAAAAGATGGACAAGTAGTCCACTCCATAAACTACAAAAACAAAAACAGTGTCATGCAGGGAGGGTTGTAAATATAAAAACATGTAAAAACTCATCTAGCAGCTACATACAGCAGACCAGCTATCCAAAATGCCAAAAAGAGCAATGTTGTCAAATTCTGTAGTAACTGTGCCTAAAAAAAGAAGCTATGAAATGGGCACAATTCCACTATCCCTCAACAACTTCTTATTTGTTCTAAAATATTCTTTCATTTTTCTCCATACAAATAACCCACATAATAGCAAAAATCATGATTCAAAGTCACAATATCAGCCATTGACTCAGAGGGCATTGAAACACATCGGCAGCATCGCGGCGTGGTATCGGTCAATATGCTCAAAATACTAGATAGAAACTACAAAAAAATTTGAAAAAATCATAAAAAATTCTAAAAATATAAACGTCATCATCTATGCATCATATGTCCATAATACATCAAAAAAATATTAAAACTAATTAAAATGAAACATAAAGGTGCAACCAAAAATAATTATCATTATCAGTGTTCAACTTTAGCATTTAAGAACATACTAATGTAGTTGTAACATTTAGTTTTACAAATCTAATCTAATATTGAAATACTGATATATCTAATTATTACATTAGATTTAAAAAATATTTATGTCTATACTGACATTTTTATTATTGAAAAATATTTATGTATCTAATAATTACATTTGTTTTTTAATAATTACGTTAAACATTTTAATAATTTATCAAAGGGTAAATTTACTCTAACTAAAATTGGGCAAAAAGTGAACTCACAAACCAATTACGCACAAATAAAATAGTAAAACAAAATAAGAAAATAAAAAGAACATTAAAAAAAATTGGAGTTACTTGTTGGGATTTGGTGACTGAAAGACATAGAGTCTTTTAAGGCTCTATTTGATGTTTGCGTCCTTCAGACATTTTGTGTATCTAAATCGAGAGAGAGAGCAATCTGAGAATGGATTTGAAGAACCCATTGTCGATCGATCATTGGAAGAAGGCTAGGGCTGGAGTTGTTGGCTTCTATAGTTTTACCTCTCTACTATGGTGACTTGGTTTGTAGCGAAGAAGACCACAAAAAAAAGAATAGAAAAAGAAGAAAAAGATGAAGATGACGTAGTCTGTCTTTGGGATTGGGATTTCTCTGAAGTTTGATCTGTATTCGATTCTACAGGTATGTCATGCGAATCCTTACAATCTTCTTCGTTTATATAGTTGCAATAGAGGAGTAAATTTGCAAATTTCCATGTGATTTATGCCATCTTGGGTTTCAAATTGCAGATTTCCACATAGGTTTTTTCATTTGTGGCAGTGGGCTTTTGATTTTTTACTTTCTTTTTTATCCTTTTTTCTGTTTGACTTTTTTATTTGAGTTCTTTCTTTTGTTTTGGATTTTTGCTATTTCGCCGAGATTTTTGGAATTTTGCACAAGATTCGATCATACTTGGCCAGTTCCGAAATGAATCAACAGATTTTTATCGAGTTGCTCTGAATTTTGACTTTTCGTCCGAGTCTAATTGAGACATTGTCGATATTGTTGCGACTCACGATTTTTGTGTATCGTATAGTGTTATCGTTTCGAGATGGCCGAGTCATACGTATCTGACCCGGCCGATACCTAGAACCATGGCAAAAATTGAGCACTCCCAAAGGAATGACTCATTTACTACTACCAAGACCATGAGAATCCACACAAAACATAGAAGCAATAGAACAAGGAGCCACCCACAAACCTCCTTAGTTGACATTTATTTGCACAAAAGTGGGGCAGTCTTCAACTTTCATTGACTTTGGAACTTGATTATTTCATTTTGATTTTGGCCATTTTATTCAAGCAAATTGGTGTTTTTTTTTTAATTTATGCCACTTTTTATTTCGCCAATTTTGGCATTTTCTTAAAGAACATGAGATTGTGTAACCTTTGGAAATGAAAAACTAGTAAGGTTCTAAAACCATAAAGGTGAAGGTTAGATGTACACAAGGTTTTATGAGAATTTCAATGCTTATCATCATCTAGTCGATAGAAAGTAAAAGGGCCTTGTATTCATATAAAACTTGAAGATTTGCTAGTAAAAAATGTCTTTATCGCTTTTATTTGAGAATAAAATCAAGAATTTTCAAGTTCATGTGTGATTCTATGCCCAAAAATAAAAGTGTTTTTTTTTATTTGACTATTTCCAAATAAATATACATAACAAGCCAATGCCATTAAAATAGGAAACAACAAGAAAAAGAAATACATATATTTTTTTGTTTTTGGTGTGCTTTTTATGAATAAATGCAATAGCAAACAAAAATAGAGAATTAACTAATTGAAACAAAAATATAAAATAAAATTGCATAGTCCTAGTGATGAGATGCAATAAAGTGCATCTTGGACTATGTGTCAAGTCACCCAACTTGTAGGTGCATTAACCACCTCAGCCATCTCAGGGGCTTTTAAGGTAGTGGATGGTTTGAGTCTCTTGACATCCTAACTCCTTCCCCTAATTGTACTAATATTCTAAGGTGGTAAATATCCGTCCACCAAGTTGAGTAAATTTTTAACACCTTTCTCTCATATTGGTTGATTTTCAGTTTTATTTTTAGTAGTAGTCTAACTTTGGTGTTTTCCTAGCTAGTGAACCCTTGGATTTTGTCATTTTTATTTTCTTTGCTTCACCTTTCCAGTCTCACTCAGCATTATTTTTAGTTTCTTGTTCCAACTATCCTTGGAAGATTTGCAATGAGAACAACAGTGACTTTGACCAGTTCAACTGAAATACACGCAATAATTTCTACCATTAAGGACTTGTGATTCAACCTTCTGAGTGAAATTGGAAAGGTGAGAACCCTTCTTGCATTTGATCAATGTGTTGGGGCTAGTGTGCAACTTGTGGGGGTTGTGTGCTAATCCTACCTTTGACAAACATGGTCATGAAGAGTAGTCTTATCATTAGTATACCTTAAACCTCTCCCAACACCAAAATCTTTCCCTATAGCAAACATTTTGCTGAGCTTTTTTGAACCGAGGGGTGCCTTTTGGAATGCTTTTTAGACACATGAAGGGGTTTCTCTAGATTGATCAACCTAACCTCAAGACATTTCTTTTTTTTTGAACTACTCCGTGGAACTTCCTCTCATGAAAGGTAATTTTGCCCAACATGGACAAACTTTTTTGACTAAGCTCAATCCAAGAACATTGGTTTTCTCAATCTCATGCCCACTCTTAAAAAGTTTGCTTCTATTTATTACCAGTTTTGAATTTAGCATTCAAGCTGGGGTAAGCTTTCTTTTATACTTGGTGTAAAGCTCCTCAATAACTTCATGAATGTGTTTTTCACGTCTGACTGTTCCCCACTTGAGGACTCCTCTTCTACTTCTCCTATCTTCAAGTCATCTGGCAAAGGGGTAGTTCTCAGTTTTTGTGGACCTTTGGGCATTGAGATTGGGCAGTTAAGAAGCCTTGAAAGTCATCATTTTTTTTTAACCTTCACTAGAATATGACTCATCAGATGAGTCAGATTTGAAGTCACTCTCACACCACTTAACTTTCGTAGCATTCCTTTTTTCATGGGTCATCATGATCATCTTATTTGGTAGTCGGTTGCAATATGTCCAAATTTATGGCACTCAAAGCATTGTAGCCCTTAACCCTTCTTTTTTAGCTGATTGTTGAATGCCCTTGACCCTTCTTTTTCAGCTGATTGTTGAAGTCCCTTGACACTTCTTTTTCAGCTGATTGTTGATGCATATTTCTGGCTTTTTGTTTATTTGAGGGTTTTGGTCTATCAACTTGCTTGTTTTTAGACATGGTTGTATGTTCGTTTGCAGCTCTAAAAGATTTTTTTCTAAATTTTCTAGCAAATAGAGCTGGATACTTGTCCCCAAACAGTGAGCAATCAGATCTATTCTCTAATGGAAGTCAAAGTGATGCTCTTGGGTTTCTTGGATTGATGAAGATTGAGCTCAAAGGTCAATAGAAACCCAATCCAATCACCAGTGAGGTATCTTGACATTTGCTCATGTATCTGTGACAGGCTGTTGAGATATCAAGCAATATTATTGAGTAACATCATAAAATCCTGAGCCATATCAAATATTCAACGAAATTTGGTGCATCATTCACCCTGCTTTCAATGTGGGAAAACTATTGTGTATTTTCTTGTTTTTGTCACTACCATATGGTGTGAAAGTAACTTTACCATTTTTGTTTGTGACTATCCTTAAGTACTTATGGTTTCTCGCTATATCCGAAACTTAAAAGGTATCTTTATTGTTGCCCTTGTATCTTCGACAGGTTATTGAGATATCCAGCAATGAGTATCAACCTTCAGAGAAAGACATTTTATATGCTGAAGGAGTAACTCTGAGCAAAGGTCTTGCGTTTGTTGAATTTTCATTCGATGATCACAACCCAATGTCTGACATGTACAGTGAAAGTTCTGAATGCCAAACTCCCCTGACCAAGTAAAATTCGCAACTGTTATCTGATCCATTTTCTTTGGTTTTTTCCTTACTTGTTGCAGAAGCCTAATTTTTGTTTTCTTGCACATTAACCACTTCTTAGGTACCAATTGATTAGCATCAATTCTAAGGGACTACCCGATGGATTCAAATGGCTGGAAATGTTTGAAGATGTGAGGGTGGTAGTCTTTTGCATTGCTTTGAGTGATTATGACCAGGAGTGGGTCCCCTGTATAGGTCCACTTCAAAATAAAATGCTGGCAAGTAGAGATTTGTTTGAAAAAGTAGTTAGGCATCCCTGTTTCGTGGACACCCCTTTTGTGCTCCTTCTCAACAAATTTGATGCCTTTGAGGACAAAATCAACCAGGTTCCAATAACAGTTTGTGATTGGTTTTGCGACTTCAGCCCTCTTAAGCCTCATCACAACAGTCAGTCCCTGGCCCACCAGGCATACTATTATGTGGCTGTAAAATTCAAAGAGCTATTCTCTTCTATTACTGGCAGGAAGCTTTATGTATGGCAGGCCAGAGCTCGTGAACGTACGTCAGTTGATGAGGCTTTTAAGTACATACGAGAGGTTCTTAAGTGGGATGAAGAGAATATTGAAAACCTGTATGGAATCACTGCAGATGATTCGTTTTATAGTACAGAAATGAGTTCCTCTCCATATATTAGGCAGGAATGAAGCTTCTTTCTGCATCAGCTGGAGGTCTTGAAGTAAACAAGAGACTGAAGACATCGGTTCAGTCCTTTAGAATTTTTAGGGCTCCAATGACTTGGATTAATTTTTTCGATATTGCTGCAGCAAGGGAGACGGTGAAGCTTCTTGGTCATTCCGGATCAGGTAATCTCTGGGAGAATTGTTCTTTTGGTAAGAGTTAATGGCCTTCATACTTTCATGTACCTTGTTTGACATATACAAAATTGGCCCCCGTCAGTCTAATTTTATGTAAATTGCACAAATTCTTTTAACAATCAATGAAGGGTACTTGGGGTGTGTTTGGATGGCAGAGTTGGATTGTATTGGAGATCTTAAAAAATATTCTTTCCTATTCAGTCCAAATCAACCCATGAATCAGCCAATTAGGATTTATCCTATCATTCTCGGTGTTTGGGTAGCACATATGCACCTTCGTGGGCCTATAGAGAAAAGTGATATAATAGTGTCTTTGCTTGTTATCCACCTAACAATAAATAATATTAAAGAGCAAAACAATATGACTAAATTAAAGCAACATGTGTGAATGGAGAGAAAGGAAGAGACATGAAAGAAAGACTAATGAGACAAGGTAGGTTGTGAGAGAATGAGACAAGGCAGGTCATGAATCAGCAACCTTCTCTGGTGAACTCGTCGCTGCGGCAATGAGAGAATGCAAGCAACAGATGATGAATGAGAGCAGTCAATGTTAGGGTTAACAAATGAAAAGGGCCAGAGTGAGACAAGTCAATATTAGGGTTAACAAATGAAAAAGGCTAGAGTAGTATTTATATTGCGGTATTCTATCGGTGGCCAAATTATCCCAGCCTCCTAATACATTTCATTTAACCCACCTCGAGAGGTTAAAATTGACTTTTCAAATGAGGTCGGAATAAATCCAACTAGAATTTTTGGTGCATTTTTTTATAATTATCAAATGTGGAATAAAAATGGGTCCTACATATTTTTTTCTCTTATATCACTGGTGTTATTTGCCCTTAACTCCGTGATTCAAATATATATTATTTTTAACATATACATTTTTGATTTAATGCACACACGGACACTATGTGTTTGATAATATGATTGTTTGAATATGTACACTATACATAGTTGTTTTATGGGATTGGGATCCCCTGAGAAATTGAGTGTTTAATCGACAAAATCAATACACTAATCTTCATGGGTTCAACGGGTCATTGTGGTGGTTGAAAAGGGATTCTCCCTTAAATTGCCATATCCTTGTGAGAAGATGTAATTGAGGTCGAATTAGGTTAAAATTGATTTTTTTCTAAACATATTTTTAATAACATATTTGGCTCCATTCTAGGTAGTGTCTTGCAATTCACGTGTGTAATCGTGAGGGAAGATTCACATAATCTCTCCCTTAACACACTATATTTACACCTTTCTAAGCTAATCTAAAAAAGGAGGAAACAACATAAGGTGAGTACTAACAACTTAGTAGGAAATCTCAATTCCAAGACAGGAGTTTGGAAATAAGTAATTTGGTTTGATTAGGCATCAAGAATAACAGTCATTTCATACATAAATATATTGTAAGAACGGTGAACGAAAAATAGTTATGTATGAAAATGATTAAGCAATACCAATACCTAGGTTTAGTACGAACCATACGATCAAACCTTTTAGGGCACTTGCATCCCAAGGAAGATACGCTCCCTAATCACAATTTGACACCAAGTCAAAAGACCAACTTGGTTGTCGAGGCATTTACAAACTTAATGAAGCCCTCTACGGTCTCAATGTGGAATGTAAATCATTTGTCACTCAATCTTGTGTGCACTTACATTTTATAGAAAAATATCCCAGAGTTTAAAATTAATACAAATAGTACGAACAATTACGCAACGCTGTAAACCTCCATGTATCTATTATAATGTATATTGATTATTATGTACTATATGTATATAGTGTGACTTAAGAATAATTTATTTATATAGGTGGTATTAGAAGATAGGAAATGTTTTGAATCTTTTGAACATGTTTACGAGACTTTGGGTAAAGAAGAATTCGACATTTCTTTAGTAATTTAATTATATAAATTTTTATCACGTGTTTGTTTGATCTAATACTAAATTTGAGAATCGGCCGCTAATTAGGTTAAAATGGCATAAGAAAACTGGGCTAAAAGATGGAACCATCCAGACATCATATGATGAGAACATAATATTACATATTCATATCATTCGTCTTAACTATGTTAGTTACTTAATTAATTTGTTTTAGTTTAGTTTTGTATTTTATAGAGAATATGTGTGTTTGTAGGAAAACTAATGTAAAAACAAGGTTTTGCATACATTATAATGTTATGGAGGACTAGTTAGGTGATCTAGGAGTCAAACCAAGAGCATTACAAGCATAAATTGAGGAAAGTGTCAGTGTTATCGGTAGGTCTTCTACTGGTTCAACTGGAGGCCAAATTCGGTTTGACTAGTAGAAGTGAAATAGAGACCTTTTCTACCAGTAGGTTGATACTCTTCTACTGGTAGGTTTGAAACAGAATATTGTTCTACCAGTAGCTGAGAAGAACTACTAGTTCGTGCAAAATAGTGAGCAGTTCTACCAGTAGGTCCTTTTGTAGGTCAGTGTATTTTTGTTGTGAAGACTCCTAAGGAAAGTCAATCTGCTGGGATATTTAAAAGGTCATGATTGATGGATTAAAAGGGATGAAAATTAGCACATGTTCTCCTATAAATACCCAAGCCTAGCCAAAGAGAAGGATATCGTTAGAATCTCAATTCATTGTTGAATTCACCAAAGCACCATTCTTCTCTCCTAGTGTTTAGAATTAGTTTTTCTTCTTTCCAAGAGTTTTTCTCCATTGTTTACAATTACAAGCTTTGTTCAATTTCAAGTTCTTTAATCTTGCAACTCGATTACTTTCACTTCTTCCTTTGTGAATAATTTACATTCTTGCAATTCAATTCAAGGTAATTTATTTTTACTCACAATTTTAATTCAAGTTTTATTTGCTTTCAATTTCAATCATGTCTTTTTCAATTGCTTTCATTTTAAATTTCAGTATGAGTGAGTAGTCGTACTCTGGTTTAATTGAATGAGGGAGTCTCATCTGTGAATGGGGATTTTGACTAATTTAGGGATTTTTCAACAATTGAGTTATTGAGGTTATTTGAATGATTAAAGTTGAAAACACTTTCGATATGTATATGTTCTTGCTTACCCCTAGACAATTACATCTAGCACGGGTAATTCTTAGAATCACTACAATCGAAGTGAATGTAATTCTTTTAAAATCAAATCAATTGACTTGAGTACATATTTATTATTTACTTTTGGGTGTTAATAGAATATTTTCCGTTTGAGCGCATTTGAAAAGAATCTCAAGTGAGTTATAGAAAGTGGCTCAAAATACTTATTCGTGGTGTGATGAAATCTACTGATTAACCGGCCTTTTTTTTAACTTGTACAACCAAACCATCAAAAATTCAGAGTTTTTATTTTCTTTTGCCCATCACCCCTTTGAACTAATCATTTGCCCTGAGGTGACGACCTCGGTAATCGATTGAGTTACAAACACGATAGCTGTCCTACACTTGGAAATTCTTTGATAATTTAACTTTACTTTCAAGAGCAAACATTTGGTGTCACTGTCGAAGAAGGCATTTTAATTCAAAGAGGTGATTCGGACAAGGATTAGGTAAGTCTTGTGATTTACATCATGAGCTTAGGTGCACTCTTCGCTATATTTTAGTTTTAATTTATTGTTTTTCTATTTTTGTTTATAGTTTTAGTCTTTGCATGTGGGCACAAGACACTATTCACAAAAGACTTATAAGACTCGACCCCACAAACACTGTTGACATGGAAGGTAGTTAGCACATTCCTTGAACGAAATGTGTGTGAAGAGCATTCTCTCTGAAAGACAAGGCAAAGACTTGACTCAACTCTCTTAAAACTTGAACTATGGCTACTTAGGTTGATTTACAAAAAGATTTTCTTAAGAAATTTTTTTCAGTTCATAGAACAATTGCTTTAAAGAAACAGATTCAAATTTTTTTTGAAAAACCTAATGAATAGTTCTATGACTACTGGGAGAGGTTCAATGATCTCTTGAATGGCGTTCCACATCATAGATTTGAACCATGGTAGCTAGTGAGTTTCTTTTATGAAGGAATTACACCATCCCATCACCAATTCGTAGACATAATGTGTAATGGCGAGTTTTTGAGTAAAGAGCCTGAGGAAGCTTTAGATTATTTTGAGAGCTTGGCAGATAATGCTCAATCTTGGGATATTTCTGATCCTATTGAGTGCTCAAAGAAATCTATTTCATCCCAATCTGTTGGGGGTGGGAAGTATGCTTTAAGAGAACAACATGAGTTCCTAGCCAAGATCGCACATCTGTCAAGGAAAGTGAAAAATCTAGAGGTTAAGAAAGTGAATGAGGTGGTAAGTGTGGCTCAAAAGGAGCCTTACATGTTATGTGAGTCAGTTGAGCATTCTATTAAAGAGTGCCCAAACCTACCAGCCTATAAAGAGGTCCTCCATGAGCAGGTGAATGCCTTTAACTAGCCAAGGCAACATAATTCTCCCTATTCTAACACATACAATCAGTATTGGCATAGCCACCCAAATTTTAGTTGAAGAAATGACACCTCGGCTCAACCTTGTACCTCTATATCTTATGTCCCTCCAACTCGACAAGTGTCCTAACCTTTAGGTCCCTAGTCTATGCACCCACCATCACAAGTGTTTGTTCATAACCCATTTTCATAAGGGTTTGCTCCCTAGGGATAAACTAATGTACCTCATTACCAACCTCATCACAAAAGGAATCTTGATAACCAACTTGACCAACAACATGGGCATGATGCAACAAGCAAAGGAAAAAAACCCCTAGACAGCCCTAGGAGAATCCAAAAGGTCAACACGGTATTGAATGTTCTAATGTCATCAAAAATAATAAAGAGCAGCTTTAGTCAATCACCACTCTAAGGAGTGGTAAATAGGTTAACAAGACCATCCCACCTAAAGTACCTAAGCCTACAGAAAAAGAGACTCAGGGTACTTCAAAGAATGGTGAGTCACTTAAGCTGCTTAGGTTTGTTTAGTCTGATGATGTAGAATGCCCTATTCTTGCTCCCTACCCTCATCTTTTAAAAATGACTACTAAACAAGCTAACCATGTTGAGATTCTTGATTTATTTAAGTAGGTGAAAATTAACATTCCTCTACTTGATACTATTCAATAGGTATCGCCATGTGAGAAGTTTCTAAAAGATCTATGCACTGTGAAGAGGAAGTTAAATGTCTAGAAAAATCATTTTTGATAGAGTACTATCCTATGACCAACACTCCACCCAAGTATAAAGATCCTGGCTATCCCACCATTGTTAC